ATGGAAAAACATGTAATTAAAGGAGGTGACAGAAACACGTAGAGTACAAAGAAAAAGATGGTTAGTGTAACAGATGGTTGGTGCCGAGGGGAGGTGGAGGGGGAGGTGAGATGAGACACAGGACTCGCTGTGCTGACCCCTGAGGGAATCAGCAGATAAAAATAAGTCGGCAAAAATGCACGATGACAAAGACAGATTTGAAAAATGAGTCCTAGGAGTGTAATAATAATAAAAAAACTGTAACGCTCAAATCCTGTGACTAGGGATGTAGAATCGTTATCGTTTTTTCCTCCGATAATGAAAACCCGACAAAGCAATGTCTGGGTTACGCCAAATGATGTAAACCTTAAAAATAGTTTTGGGGATAAATGGCTGTATATTAAAGTGAAATTCACTAGATGGCAGCATTGCAGCTCATTTAATTAATCTTGTACTCATACAGTGGTTTGTACAGATAAATAAATAAATATAACCAGGCCTATATCGGTATCGGCTGATATTGGAATCGAAAAAAAAAGTGTTTAGACAATACTGGCAAAAAGTTAGTACCGGACATCCTTACCTGTGACTCACATTGACGGCAGAACATTTGATCAAAACCACAAGCTTTCAACTCACCCGCGTGACGCCAACATTCAGCTCCTCCGGCCCCAGCGAGACTCTGATGAAGCAGCCTGGGAAGTCTCCCTCCTCCCTCTCCAGCAGGTCTTTGCCCTGGTGCAGGGTGATGTGCAGCAGTCCCACTCCCTGCCCCGGCTGCCTGGAGGCTTCGAACTCCAGTGTCACCTCCAACTGCCCCACGGTGAAGTCGTGGCCAAAGTTGTTGGCGATGGAGGAGATGGAGCTGAGAGAGGCCGTGGAGATGGATCGGTTCAGCTGGGCCAGGCCGGTCGGGTCCAGTTCCCTGCTCATCAGCTCCAGGTGGCCCAGGTCCCTGAACACATCAGGGGTGTCACCCAGGGCCAGGCTGGGCGGCTGGAGGCGGTCGAAGTCCGCCTGTGGTTGTTCGCAGCCACTCTCTGCAGGGAGATGAAGAGAACTGAAAGGTGGGTTTGAGGGCTCCGTGTTAGGGTTAGCTTCTTCTTTTCAAAGGAAGTCAAAAGGTTACAAGACAACTCGAAATAAAATCTTTGTTTGTGAAAATAATGACATAATTTTTTTGGTTTAATCACTTCTGCCAGCTGTGGTTCGTCTATAAAAGTCCTTCTTTGTAGAATTTAGTGAATTTCTTTTGCACAAATATACATTTCTACCTACAGTATTCACACATACACATTAAGAAGCAGCATGCACGTTTACCTTTTGTCTGACTTCTGAAAAGGAGTTTCCATATTTTTCCTGCAGGTATCTGTAATCAAAGTTGGGGAAGGGCGAGGGTGTGGGGAATGTTCCAGATTTCCACAGCTTCCAGATGTTGAGCCCAGCCACAACCAGCAGCACGAAGAAGCCCACCAGATATATGCCCACCTCCCAGCCGGGTGGGTTACGCACCACTGAAAGAGACAAGAAAAAAAAAAAGAAAAAAAAAAAAGCCGGTGCTTAATAAGCCGTCTTTATGCATTTCCATTTCATCAGTGGCAGCATAAAGCTCGGCCTCAGAAGTGGATCTATACGTCTGTACTTATAATGAGGGTTTGATTGATCACCACTGAAAGTGCACAATTTGGGTGAAGCCCAGGAAAGATAGTTTAGTAAGGCTTTTCATCTGAAGACCTGCCGTCACCGAGCAGAGGCAGCTACTTTTTCAGACCCTGTCACTTAGCTGTCGGCCCGGAGTTCCGGAAACAGACAGAACTTGGAAGAGCGAAAAGTTTTTCATGCAAATGAGGGGAACGTTTGGCAGTAAAAACAGACAAGCAAATTAAACCGAGCTGTTTGGTAATATTTTGGAAAAGGATCAGAGTGAGCAGCAGGATGTGCGGGAAAACAGCTTTTTCCCACTTCCTACTTTTAGACCAGGGCTGGGCAATTAATTAATTATCCTAAAGGGTCTACATGGGAAATTGGAATGGTTTTAAAGAGCCAGAATAATGTATTATTATTGCATATATGAATACAAACACACACATATATATCCTTCTAAAAACACATATGTACATATATATGTGTATATAGGTATATGTGTGTGTATATACATACATATATGTATGTATGTATATATATGTATATATATGTATATATATATATATATATATATATATTCAATAGACCCAGCAGAGGCACTCAACCGTTTGTACGACCAGACCTTAGATCACAACTGTCAGACGGTTCTGTCCACTCACCACTCAGATGGTAGCCTGATATATCCTCACTTTGAGCTGAGGACATGGTGCTGCAGCCAGCCTGTGGGAAGAAAACAAAAAACAACAACAACACGTTAAAGAACAGTTTGTTCAAGTGGTTTAATGTCCAAGAACAAAAACTCCCAAGAGTTCCAGGCTCAGACTTTGGCTTAGGGAAAAGAAAAATGATCCAAAAAATTTAAAATGGAAACATGTTTGATCATCTGTCAAGATGTTTCCAGTTTAAAACACCGGTTGTTTCAAGGACAGCTGAGAAAATGGTGTATTACAGACTTCAGTGTTCACAGGGGTCATCACACCTTGTTTGGACCACGGATCAAATACCCTACTGAAGTCAGACTCGTGACTGTTTTCTACAAACAGGATGTGTGATCAATAAGGGTGAAGACAATTTATTTTGTAAAGACCAAATTTACAACACACACACACACACACACATATGTGTATATCGACCTATATATATATATGTATGCATTTGCAAAGATGGAGAGATACAGGGCAACAGGAAAAGACAGGAAAGAAAATAACAGTAAGAGAAAAGAAAAGGATAAAAATAGAAACGAAGAAAAAGGATGGAACATGAACAGAAGAACATCTGCCGCCACTGGGCAGCGATGCATGTCTGTGTGTTCAGTCTGTCTGACATTACAACGAGGAAAGAACAGAGCTTTACTACACCAAAGGGAAATGTGTCCAGGACTTGGACTGATCCAGCTCCTGGATGACGATAAAACCAGTTGGACGTTACGGAAATTAGATTTCCCAAAGACACTGAGGTGACAAATAACTGACAGGTGAACTGCACTGACGGTACATTTTTAATAAAGCAGCCTCTACATTGTCTGCCTACAGATTTTTGGAGGTTGATAATGTGTTTACAAAAATGCAGAAAGAAAGCAGAGGGATATTTCCCAGCACCCTCTCTGTCCCTGTGTACTGAAAACAAAAAGAAAGAAAATCATTGCTGGTGGGTGACTCACCCCCCTCACCCCCCACCCCCCCCCCCCCCCCCCCCCCGTGGGGGGATCTCCGGGCAATACACCAAAGATATAGAAAAACCAAAGAGTG